GAAACCGAAACTCGGCGACGAGGCCACTTGTATAAAGCAAATCACATAGCAGGAGACGCCGACGGCCGCAGAGCGCATCCAGAAAACTAAAGGATAGTAATCGTAGCCTCTCCCATAGCGAAAGTTGTTCCAAGGACAGTACCTCACATGTGGCAAGTAAGAACGAGAGTACCTTGAGGATGACCAAGCTGTAGTTGATGTGCCGTCCGAAACATTCAGCTCCATTACCTTATCAGTATCAGACATGTGCACAACAAGCACCGACGAGGACCAGCCGAGGCCTTCACCAGACTAGATGACATATTGTGATCCGTCCCGATCGTCTCCGGCAACACCACCATCACGTTCACGTTGACACGGGGGAGAGTGCTAATATACCTTACCATTTCGCACGACGCGTCAAATATGAGACATGTGGAGAAACCAACTCTTCCCATCCAAACCAATCCTAAGGCATACAATGGCTCCAAAATTACCTGTTACAGCTACTTACACGTTAAGTGTATATTAAAGCAGATTTACTGGAGCCGTGAGGAGTTATTTGTGGTAGACGAGCCAGACCCTGCTATTGCTGGGCTCCCTACAAGCCGCACCCTAGACTTGGTGGTGACGATCCATACTGGCACACAGGTCCCACAGCCTCCCACAAGGGCCCCACAATCAAGAACCGAGGAATGAACCTATAAAAACACTCCGGTGAAGACAAACAAGACCTGCGGGAACGGTACCCAACGCAGTTTGACACACCCTGCATGGGTAACTTTAAGGCGCGCATTCGCCTACACCTCAAGCTAGATGCTCAACCCTACATGGACCCGCCACGTATATGCAGCGTTCACATCAAAACCCAAATTTCAAGCCGAGCTGAGCAAGATGGAGAAAGACTTGGTAATAGGAAGAATCTCCCGAAACTTGTACTGGTGCAGCTCGATTAACAACGGCTGTTTAAAACAGACGGCTCACTCAGGCTGTCTCTTGATCCCAAGCAACTTCTTAAAACGGTGTCCACACAAGATCCCCTATCGAAGAACTTTATCCAGAATTTCGATGGCTAAGTTCTTTTCCTAGACACAAAAACTAGACACAAAAGCAGGATATTTGACCGTCCACCTCGTAGAGGAATCAAGGAGCTGACTAATTTTAGAACACTATTGGGCCGCAATACTGCGCTCGTCGCCTACCTTTCGGCTTATCAGTGATGCAGGATTATAATGAATGGACCGCATCATAAAAAGCCAGGTGCCTGAATGTGTTGGAATCGCCGATGACTGTCGGATGGAGCGGGAGCATGACGGGCACCTCATTGCTCGGATGAAAAGCGTCACTAAGAGAGGTCATCAGTTTCTAAATGGTTGGAATAATTAAACCTTAAAGATTCTGGTCTGATACGTCTTGTCGCTGGTAACTGAGTTTGATGAAATAGTTTAACTGGGTCATACGAAAATAATAAAATGTTCCGTTACGACAACGGGAAATCTGAATGTGTGCTTGATGTAACTGTTGCCTAAATTGAAGTCACTTTAATTCATACGGTAACAATAAAGCCAATACGATGGTCTGCTGGGTGTAATAATTTACGAATCTGTATCCTTGAATCCTTTTAAAAATCGACATGTTAATCAAATACACATCATTACATTTAAGCAACATTATGTAAAAGCCTAGTTGGGCAATTGCTAAGTACTCTAGCGGCAATTTCTTTTTTATTTCGGATTTCATTTTATGCAAATAGAATTTGAAAGGTTATAAAGCAAAACGATAACTACCCCCTGATCATGATGTAAACAAAAATGAATGTCGACCACAGAAAAGCACTAAGTAGCTGTGATAAACGTTTCAATTTTTAATTCAATAACATTTATCAAAGCTGTGATAAACGTTTCAGTTTTTAATTCAATAGCATTTATTAAAGCAAACTAACAAGTAGAATAAGTCATTCCATTAGATGCAACGATACATAGTCAGAGGTGCCGATGGTTAGGACAAAACGATTTCCTAAAACCAAGTACAACTGCTTCAAAAATGTCAAACAAGAACTATTGTCAAACCACAGTCATGTACTGGATAGAGTAGTACAATGAAATAACGCGCATACAAAATGTAATGCTGCTTCGCCTCAACATCACTTGTACTTGATACATCAGAATTCTAAAATCTGAAAAGGGTTCATGCATTTAAACTACTAGCACCGGGATATTCCTCATGGATCTTTTCTGGACCGGCAGGAGGGCAAACTGTGTCCCCATTTTTATTTCCATATTCGACAGCCTATTTTCATAAATTTTTGCAGGAATGTTGGTTGGCATATTATTTATAAGGTGACCTTGTCTGGACGCGCCTCAGTGACCAAAAGATGGCGTTTTACTGTCTGTAGCCTATTAATTGGTCTAAAACGGTACTTATATGGCATGATTTTAACATTCAAATGCTATCAAGGTTGTTAAAAAAAATCCTATCGGTCAATTTCCATCCAATTACACACTTTGACATACAAATATACCCACTTTGTGGTCAACATCGTCATTTGTCGTAAATTTGGATATTTGTCTATCAAATTCGGCTCTATTGAAGTACTTTGGTATTGTCAGACATGCTCAATATCTTTTTATGCAAGAACTACCAAAAGGTACCAAACCCAACCCCCCCCCCAACAAAAAAAAAGGTGGGTAGGAAAAAAACAAGAAGAAACCTTTGCAAAAAAAATGACAATTATACGCGGGTTTTCATGCGATATTGGATTCCCATCATGCATTGTATGTGGTCACGTGACTATGTTATTTAGTCTTAAGTGGAAAGTTGGTTGGTTTGTTCGGTCACAGAAAGGTTTTACTCACAAAAGTGTCTATTTCCATGTTTTTATACAAAACATTACCAAAAATGCTACAAAAAAACACTAGCGTTTTTGCAACGGTTACAAGACAACCATTGACATCCTACAGGCTTTGTTTTTGGCACCATATTCATCACCGATGAAGGTAAGTAAAAGTCAGTAAATTTCATGTGGATCAACATAATCGTTCTAGAGCTATTATAAAAAAGTTTCTTGAGGGGGACACATACAGTCCACCCCACTGGTCCGATGGGGCTAGGGTTAAACAAAGCAACCACGCATACAATTATACATGATGGATTAATATACAAACAAAAGCTAAAACAAAGGCTCTCCTAACTTTTAGGTAAAAAACTAAATCAAAAGATTGCGAAGTGAGTATTATCTATTATCATCTTGGGATGTGTTAATCACATTGTTAATTGCTACTATCTATCAAGCCAGGTCAGAAAGTACCCGTCTCTATCTTTCAATGGAATTTAATGCTACGTGCAGAGGCGTTTGGACAACAAGCAATTAAAAAAAATCTAGATATCTATCTCACTTCTTTTGATTTAATAAAATAACTGAATACAAACTGTTGGTTTCAATCTGAAGTAAAAGGTATAGGAAAAATGACTATTTACATATCATAAAAACTGTAATATGGCACATGACGGTCTCTGGTATTATAAGGACATTCTTAACTGTGTTCTATACTGCCTGTTATGGAATTCTCCATTGCAATTCAAAATTTCTACTAAAGCCAGGTATAACATAACCATCATACCAAGTAACGATCAGTATCTTTCATTCACGCAGGTAAAACAAAATACGTATAATAGTATTTCGAATTATCGCCAATGAGACTGAAGTAAACAATTAACTGCCCCAACCTTGTTCAATGGAACTATTGTGAAGAAAAGTGACCACTTTTATTATTGAAATATTAGCCAGCCACTATAACTATTTGTGCATGCCACAGCTTTGCAAGACAATTACGGGGTACTTTGGTAGTCACTTGAAAATACTTATACACAAAATGGAAAAAAAATAACACCTTCCCATACGATGGTAAATCTTCAGTCGCTATGCCACAACTTACTCCACCTGAAATGATTGCGCAAATTACGCGATAGTTTGTTGCGCAAGTCACAGACTTATGCTTCCTCATCCTCACCCACCAACTGGATGTCAACAAAATTATTTGGTTTTTATCTAAACCTTGACGCAGTACCAGTACAATTGGCGAAAAACGGTAGACGCATTATGTACCGTAAGTATAATAATTGAAAAATGACGATTGTAAAAAGGAGATCTCTTTCTAAAGAAGAATTATAAAGTGCAACCAACCATGGGTATTTATTTCATCATTCATGACAGTAATTTGTAAATTCTTAAAGAATACCTAAAATGGGATTTCCAGACTAAGGATTTTGTGGAGCTGGGGCGTTGTCCCCATGTCCATGAGCTCCTGCATCAGAAAGAAAGAACAATTTCAAAGATTGGCGTTTGAAGAATTACAAACGCTGGGTGATCAGGATTGCAACGTTTTCGTGGGACATTGCCCACTTAAGTTGTGAATATGCTCATAGCAAAACATTTGCAAATTTCATCTTTCTCTAGTAAAACCATTAGTTTTAACTTGAACAAAAATGCACCCATCTGTATTTTTTGTTGTATTTCAGTATACATTTTATTTACTGTTAAATGTTACTTCCGGTTTGATGACGTCATCAGTTTAAATGTTGACGTCATTAGATATATTGATTCAGTTCAGACAGAATAAAAATTCATTATGCAGTTAAAAACACTTTGAAAATATTGAAATGATAATGAATATGTATGTGTATGTATTTAACACTTAACTTTCGGTTTGATGTCGTCACAATATTTGAACGCCCAAGGTCAACATTGTACCGAATAGATTTATGCTATGAGGTACGAACATAGTCGTTAGAAACGGATCAAATACCGAATTTGAATTTAAAGGAAACAAACTTATCATTTGTTCATTCTCCCCACAATAACTTCCAGTCTGATGACGTCACGACGTCACGACTAATTACAAGTTCTGTCTGTCAATTTTTTTTACACATCCTCTTTTTTTCACAATCTGATTTCTGTTTAAAATTCAACCTAGTAATCTTCCTTATCATTTATATTGCCAGCATATTCACATATGTTATCATAGTCCAGTGTTTTAATCTGGTCGCGGTCTCTAAGAAGTTGGACATCAGCGTTGGCCTTGGATTTGTCTCTCTTCACCACAGACCCCAACTGGAGGAAAAAAGAAATAGTCAGTGGGCTTGTGGGGCCCATGATGCATTTTCAGATGTAATCTTTGAATCTCTTTCCCAAGCTAGTTCAACACACTGATCTCTATATGGATAGCAAATGCTCATACACCAGTCACACAGTTGAATTTGCCCCCAATCTTCCAAAAATGGCCACCGATATTTTCGAATGTTCTACGCCTACATACAGCATGCGCTGTATCAAGATTTGATGCGGATTTGGGTCACATACATGTTCACATTTTATGATGTTCTAAAAAGGACACACTCTGTTGTGATTATATTTCCAAATGTCACAAACAGTGAACTGCAGCATTCAAAAGGTAAACCCAGACATTTGAAAATTGTGAACGCCAACTTGTCCTTTATAGATCACTAGCACTAGCTGGTCTCTCCGATGTAGCTTCAAATAACTTTCTTCTGCTGCTTTCCGTACACTAATCCAGTCTTTATATAGAGATCAATGGTTCAACACCACTTAATGCCATTTGCCCAAATCTTTTTTGGGTGGTGGAGTAAACCAGAAATCTAGCTTAACATGCAATCTGGGTGCGATTTTTTTTCAGCCAATAATATGGGAGTTGGCAGAATGGTTTCATTTCAAACCAAAACGTATTTACCCTTTGGGGGCATTTCACAAGCTTAAATGGGCACATCTGGCATATGAACCAAAGCCTACATAATGACTAAAATCTTGGTTTGTCAAGCAATTTAATTAACTTGGTATTTTTTTTTAACGTAAAACTATGTTTTCTTAAAGTGGCCATGGTAGGAGGAAAATAATGATTTTTAAATAAAAGGCCATACGTATGTCGTTTTTGGTCTGAAATCAGAAAAAAAAGTGTAATCTAATATACATATGGGCAATTCCATGAGAATGTGGACATGGCTAAAAAATGGATAAAAATTATGAAATCTTCAAACTGCAAGCATCAATATCTCAAATGTGGTATCCAATTAAAGGGCACAAAATGTTTCATTTGAGTGATGTGGCAGTGAGATGGAATATGGTTAAACATTTTTTTTCTTGGATAACCCCAACCACCCCAAACCTTTGAAATGCAACTGCATGTTTTGTTTGACTCTGTTAGAGTGAGGACTGCACTAGTAAACTGATTATGCTTTACATGGGGTCAAGCATACAACCATTAATCAGAGTCCAACTGTTTTGGTCTTGAGTTGCCATATGTGACCCACTCCAGGAAAAGGTGATATAAGTCGTAAAAAATTCAATTCAAGTTATATACACTATTGATTCTACTATTGATTCTACAAATGATTATTTTCAATGATTTCTGGAAAAGAGATACTTTTTGAAACCAGATTACTATCTTTTGGCTAATTTACATATTGATTACAATTATAGTTTTTGGATGTAAAATAAAGATAACAATGCACACAAAAGTGAAACATTAAAAAAAAAAAAAAAGTGACATATAATTTGTAATTTTGCTTTTAAATGAATTACTTAGACTTCTTAGGGCAACTAAGCTAAATTCAGAAAATTGCAAACACCCCAAACTGACAAACGCAAAACCGAAACCGACCTGACTCCACTGAAATGGTTGGAAAAACCGACCCGAAGTCAGTTTCGGGTCGGGCCGGGTCGGTTTTGGTTCGGGTTTGCACAAAATTAATCAGGAGTGTACCTGTCCACGTAGTTCCCCAGCAACGATCATGACACATGCCATGTCTCCTTTTGGGATTAATGTCTCTAGCATGCTTTGGTCAATATCTGTCAAAAGAACACAAAACACACACAAACAATTGTGAACTGTGAAATAAACAAAATGCAACTTGTTCATTCACCTGATGCAGATGAAATGCATTGATGGGTACTGAGTAAAAGGGAACTTATTACATGTTCAAGTGCAGACAACAAAAGTAATCCAGTTCCTATATTTTACAAGAACATGGGGTTTGAACAACTTAGTACATTATCAAGCCTGTGTTTGACCTGTGACCATGTTTGAGGTGAGCCAAGTGAAGGTTAAAATCAAAAGTTTGAAAGCATGTTGAGATATTTCTAAAAACAACTTCCCACAGGTGGCACTTTCCACTAGCCGAAATGAAATACATTTAAGGCCAATTTACGCATACGTGACATTGTCGCATGACAATGTTGCGCATTATTATAAACAAGCACAAATAAATGATTGATAACATGCAAGATTTTGTGGCTAGATGTAAAAATGCACATTGATATGTCTATAAATTTACTTGTAAAATATGGGCCATAATGTCGCGTATGTGTAAATTGGCCTTTACACATGATGAAATGACATGGTAGGCCTACATTTTTACAAACTTCAAAAGGAGAAATTATCATGAGTTCGGGAACATAAGGGTCATAACGGAACTTTTTTGAACATGTTCCCCTCTGCCCTTGACTAGGGCAGTTAAAGGGGTGAATATCAACAATTATTATATTATAAACTGCAATATTTAAAGTAAGGATGTTGAGCAAACACATATCAATCAAACAAACCAAGAGTTTTTATAATTGGATTTTTCCCTTCGCCGATGTATTTATATAAACACTGTAACATACTAAGTCATTTTCACGGGCTTGCAAGAAAAAAAATCACAAACTTACTCATGTGGGACTTGAACCCACAACATCCTGTTACTAGTGCAGAAAACAACAAATGTTTGGGTGCGGTACCCGCTGCTACATCGCCTCGAACCAGCCAGCCAACACCAGAAAGCTCAGTGGTCTAGTGGTAGGACATCTGCACTAGTAAGCAGGAGGCCATGGGTTCGAGTCCCACCTGAATAAGCTTGTGAATTTTTCTAGCAAGCCCTCGGACAACATTGAGTATACAGTGTTTATAAATATACATGTGAAGGGCAAAACCCAATGTAACATTTACATCTCCCTATGCAAATTTCATCTTATTAAAAAAAACATCAAGGGTATCTTGCCTTCCAAAATTCTGCCATCTTCAGTCCGGCAAGTACAGATTCCCTGTGCTTTAACATCCACAATAAAGACTTTGCTATTGTAGTACCTGCCCTTCTTATACTGTTTGTCAATAAAACGTACCCTCAGATCAGGTCTCAGCCAATAGGATTGCTCCCTGGACTGTGCATTGGCACTAGGCGTATTATAACTGCCACTGTCGCTGCAGGAAAAGACAGATCTGTATTAGTTTATTAGTATCTATTCTAATAAACTAATTACTGAGATTAAAAGTTACTCCAAGTCAAAAGACAATTGCTACTACCTTTGCTAAAAACTCAAAGACATCTCAATTGAAAACTGAAGCTGAAATTGAAACTGCTGGCAAAGCATAGCAATACACATGAGCGCCAATAAGCTCTCTGTCAACCACAGAATTATGCACAAAATGATCATTCTCTATTTCTGTACTAAGCCTGTGAGCACATTATCCATGGTTACAGTATGTACACAAACATATTGACAAAGAGCATTGCAAACATCAATATTTTTTTTTAAAATACTTACCAATAAATTCAGGTTAAATTCTACTTACTAACCAGTCTAAATCTACAAGTACACGAATATAAATGGTTTGTTCAGGAATATGTGAATTTGTTTTTACATACCGGTATAAATGAAAAAGGTTCCACAAACATATCCGAGTTGTGTCAACACACACAAACATAGATGCAGTTTTTACATGTCTGGTTACCAAGGCAATGCTCAAGTCAGTACTCAAAACATATTGAACTCACCTGTCATACTTATCTTGTATTTTCCTTCTTTTTTTATCACTGTCCATCTGCCTCTCCTCCCTGTCACTACAATGTTGACCTTGGGTTTCCTCATTTGCTGCCACATTATCGAACAGGAAATTAGGTGTTATCGACAAATACATTCGTTGTACTCCTTATTATTTTCTGAAGTTTTTTTTCACCTTATGATGAATATGTATGCTTTCTGAACTAAATCAATATGTTTACACAGTTTTAACTGATGACGTAATCAAAACGTACGTAAAATAAAATGTATAGTGATATTAATCAGACCCAAAGGAAGCATTGTTTCTATATTGAGAAAAATGGTTCCAGTCTGAGTGTCCTTATTCTTTTGTTTTGTTCAGGCATATTAATATTCAAAACCTCATGTCCATTGAACTAGTTGTTTGCCTGCCCGAGCACCCTGCGTTTTTAACGCAATAAACGCAAATGTCTAGTTATAAATTAGAATTGGAATTGCCCTGTGGCAATTTCATCGTTAAGAAAGGAAATGTTATGTCCGAGACAGAGCCAAGTAACCATGATTGCTCCTTAACTCTGTAGTGTGCGACAGTGATGACATTGTGACAAATGCAATAAAGCTCTGTCACAGAAATTACATTACGCTAAAATTGCCCCCTATCACTCAGTGGTAGTATTTAAAAAATAAAACAAAACAGGGCCCATAAGTAACGCAGTGAAAATTCGTATTTACCTGCCCTCTCTGGCGGCGCACCGAAATTGAGGTTAATTGGACCTGATGTACCAGTAATGACAGGGTTGTTAGCGCCGGTAATATTTCCGGTGTTTCCCGTGATGTTTCCACGTGGTTGTTGAGCACCTAAAATAAAATTAATCAAATGATCAGCACGGTATAATAATATCGCCTCAAATAAAAAGCACTTATCATCAGTAGCGTAAACAGAATCAGTATCGTAAAAAGACGGGGGTGCAGAGTGACAGATTGTAACGGGATGGAGATTTTAAAAGCAAAAATCGGGACGCTGAGAGAAACAAAATTGGGAAGGTGAAAATGAGTAACGGGACGACAATTCTATTTTGCAACGGAATATTTTCTCAAATGTACCCATTTGTTAAGACCGCCATTTTGCACGAGGACCCTTAAATCACGAGTGCCTTTGTTTAGGATTGTGCCACCTTGAAGAGCGCCACCTATTGTCCAAAGGTTTCCGGTTTGAACAACGCCTCCACCTCTACCATGCACTGCCATCATCATCACCACCACCACCACCACCACTACCACGTTTTGATTTTACTGGGTGTACGGTCCAAATGACCTTTGCATACGCCACACTGCAACGGGCACACAAAACCCTGATTACGCGACATAATTATGCTCAAGGAAATCTGTAAAGACATCTCCGACCTGAAAAACGGCTGAGTGTTCGCCGTTAAATAAAGTACATCGCAAAATATTTACTTTTTGGCTTGGAAACACACTTGCCTCCAGACAGCATGTCGTCACTATCACAAAAAGCGGATCTAGTTGTGTTAATTATTTTCTTTCCTCTACATTTTAGCTATGTTTTCAGCAAATTTACTTAGCAGATAATTTTGTACGTATCGTGCAATTTTTGATATTTATTTGTTACGTGTGCTCATTGGTATTTCTAAAACAATTCTCTGTTTTAATTTGCTCAAAATCATGTTAGTGGAAGTTAATTTGCGAATGATCTAATATCAAGATGAGAGGGCAAATACCTTTACTTGTAATGACTGTAGCGGCCAAACTCAGATAGATTTTTTATTTTTTTGCCAAGTGAGGGCGTTGTACCGGGAAGACGACAGCTAAGCAAAAAAGCAACATGGCCTCAGCTCGATCTCGATAGAGTTGCAACTTGTGTTATTCTTCGCCCAAAGCATTAATCTGGCCAAGGTTTATTAAACGGTTGGTTACTCTTAAATAATTTAAATCAATGATTCAGTGACTAGTGTGATATTTAGTGATATTTTGTAAGCCTAAAAGTTGTATTTTCTACACATGTGTATTTTCATAAGCATTGCTTTTAGTTTAGAAATGTGTGTGCCTGTATATATAGTACATTTACTTGTAAGTGATATGTAATTTGAGCTGATTCTGTTAATTAGGTTACACAAACTCTTGCTAATTTCTTGTAACACATACACTTTATTTTATATTTTATTGTAGTCAATATGTGCCTGTACCTGAGCCTGACATGTGTACGACTACCAAAACTGTAAGAAGTTGTACAAAACGATACATTTTTCTGGATCTGCGCACAGCATTTTAGTCAGTAATCCTTGGCAGATTCAGTGACAGTATACTGTTTGAAAGCCATAGGAGCAACGCTGAGACTTGACACTATGATCAAACACACAGATTTGTACATACACATTATGTAATTTCCCCCAACACGACGCTATTATGGCAACTATACGATTTAAGAGTAATTTCGTGTAAATACTTCATATAAGTTTCCACGCTCAAAAAATCGAATTTTTTAAAACTTTGTGGGATGAAAGGACTTAGGGAGCAAGTAACCAAAATAAACATTTTAAACTTTTATTTTGCCCGTTGCCATGGTTACTGGCCATTATGTGTTTTGGCCATTTTTCGGCAATTTTGAGGCTGCAAAAATTCATTTTTCGCGTTATTTTCAAAGGTCATCCAGCCAAACTGCAAAGTAATGTCACAAAAGTAACTATATCACGACAAAGTATCATCCTTACCCTTACAAGAAAAAAATAGAAACACTTCTGAAAAATCTCTTTTATACTCAGTATTGTTAGACCCTATAATGCAGCATGTTTTTACAACTAGCAAAACTGCAAGTGAACACAAAATGGTACTTGCCAGGGCACTCAGAATAATTTCCCTTCGGCTATGGTTAGTTCAGACATTGGTCTTTTCATATCTGGTGAGAAAATTTTGGGTTATTGTATAGCCTTTGTGCAGTTGCGCTCCAAAAATGGTAAATTTCACAAAAAACGTTAAAAAGTGTATTTTCAGTGTTTTCCTTTGTTTTGGGTAATAAACTTGTATAATTGGTATTGTTCATGAACCTAGCACATTTTCACAAACAGAATCAGACTGTCTAACTTTTTTTAGACCATTGGATGAATAGTAGGTAGTGTACTTCCCCCCACACCTGGCTAGGCCCCGCCCACTCCCCTGTGCCACCGAATTTTGAACGTGTTTTGAACGTGTATATTGCGTAACGAAACAAATGTAAATAAATAGTATGCAAGTGAACACTTTAGAAATAACAGAGTTCCTTTTCACAGCCTCCCCTTCCCCCACCCCCGGGGCATTGCTTGGGGTTGAGGGTGGGGTGTGACCACCCACCAATAACTTAGCATTGTCGGTACAATCATTGTCACATGGGCACAACTCATGTGATTGCAAGCCGCAATGAATAATAATGGCCATATCCATTGTCCTCTGATTGAAGCACACCATTATTCAAATGATGTCCAGTCCTCCCCTCCCAGCTAGGCCCCGCCCCTTCCTTTGCCACCAAATTCAGATTTTGATTTCTGCATGTATTTGCCTAAATTAAATTGTAAATATTAGATATCAATTTGAAAGTGAACCTTTTAAGATCTACACCAACAGCCGTCTCACAGATAGCCCCTTCCCCTGCCACCCCCAATCCCAAAGCTCAAAGATAACCATGCCCTCCCCAACAAGTCAACAAGTACAATTTCATGGGGAAAGTCTGAATTATGTAAGGTGGCTTTTTTACAACACGGGGCAGCTTGAAATATCCGAAAAGTGAGGAGGAGAAGGGGTGTGTATGTCGCAGGGGTGGGGGGGTGGGAAGGGTAATCTGGACACACGCATGTACGCTGTACACATGTGTTTATATTGCAAGCTACTTTGGAATTACAGTAAAACGTGTGGTGAACAAAATGACGTTTATTTTATTATTTTCAAAACGGAAAAGATCTGTCGATTTAGAGAGCAACTAACTCTTATTTGTTTATATTGAAATTCATGTACTTTAAAACAACGATCACTCCAGTGAAAGCTCCGAGAGAACACAGCATCAATTTGATTGCATGAATTTCACTCTGACTTGACTTGGCTATATACATGTAGTTAGGGTCTGAAGTATTTTTTTAGTGGAAGTGTCCTCCAAATTTGTATTTGCCTGATCAACATGAAGTTTTATGGCACCAAATACACATCTGTAGTGTGCTTATTATTACCATGGCAACCGTTGTAAAGACATCGGTGCTAATAAACTAAAGTCAAAAATACTTCCATTTTCAAAGCCTATCACATAAGTATTATCCTATGACTGAAATTCATGGCTATATAATTAACAACAATGCATGCTCAGTATGTCACATGGCCGCCATTGGTGCGAGAAGCGCATGTAATTTTCACCTCTTAATCTGTACCATTTTGTTTGTTTTGATGTATACGTTTCTTATAGTTATTACATGAATCAATTGCAGAGCATTAAAAAACATCACCACAATTGTGTATATTTACTTTAGTTTTGCCAATTCGGGTAAAAAACCCACACATTTTTGGAATAAAATCAGTAATTATAAGTCCCTATGGCAGTGACAATGGATGCATACAATTGCTTGACTGGGATGAATGTTTACACAGAAATACAGAAATTATGCCCAAAATGTTATCTAGACAAGAGTTTCGAAAAATATATAAAAAACACCTCTAGTGGTAACAGCAATAGAACCAAGAATGTCATATTATAGAGTAATGGTCAACCAATATTTTCCTGCCAAATCGGTTGTAGGAAAATCGGTCAAAGTATATGCAAATCAACATGGGAGCACAGTGTGCTGTACCCCTCCCTTTCAGAAAAAAAACCTGCTCGTATACAAACAAACCTGTAATTTATAAGCACCAATACATTTAGATTGCTTGCCATGTAACAATGGATGCACCACAGAAGTGTGGCCATGTTGACTGCTGATGACAGTTTGGAAGAGACTCAAAATGTCATGCTGATTACGAAATTACGATTTTGGAGAGCATAGCAGCACCCATAACGGTACTATATTCGACTTTATATGTGCATGATCTGACCATATTTACACATTAAATTCAATCAATCAATATAG